GTATACTATGGGTCATGAAGTTAGGGAGGACAAAAATCCAGAGACAGTGTCATGCCATCACCACACTTGGTGGTAATCCCAACCCCATGAAATAAATGTTCTCCTGAGATCCAGGTGAACCTTATCTGGATTTCAGAAGTAGTAAAGAACCAACTCTTTCTGTAAGCCAGAACTTCTAGATTTCAACCAGAACTTCTCTGAGACAATAAACATTCCTTTCTGAAAACTTAAGAGATTCACTTTGAGTCAGCTACAATAAGACTGGTCTAAACAGACCCAAGAAATGGCTTGTCTCCAGAAGTTGTGGGTGCTCCATCAGTGGAGGTTTGTAAGAAGAGATTGGACAACCATTTGTCTGAAATGGCATAGGGCGTCCCACTCCAGGGTCCCTTCCAACTCTGTTATTCTGTATATACCAAGGATTTCTTGACATACGAAAGCTTCTTCTCTTCTTAACTTTAAGGTCAACATTTTCATTCCAGGATGTCAGCAAAACATATAATGTGGAGGATTGCTGGCACCACATCTGTTCAGGAAAAGCTAGTTGGTGGGTATTCCTGCTTAATGCAATGAAGTAATATTGCTTCTAAGAATAATTCCATTGGAAATGAGGTTGGCCAACTGCCTGATGAAACTATGCTATTCAGCTGAGTTTGGGAGATGATTGTGAATTAATCATTCATAAATGTTTGTATCATCAAAGACAGGGAGCCATTACTTTAAAGAATCTCGGGGAGTTTCCCATAGAAATGTATCAACTCAGCAAGATAACAACCCCACCATCTCAAACAAAATTCTCAAATGTGCCCCCAGGCCATCCAATGAATACTATAAAGAGTCCGTCCCCCAGAATTTCATCCATCTCCACATCTACTTCGAGGATTCGGGTAAGTGCTATCAGGATCTGGGGTATCTTGGTGCGTTTCTATGTTCAGGTGCATGCAAATGTTTGGTGATATCTCTTAGGATTTGATTCTTCTCCTGTTTTAGTGATTCTACTGTCCTTTATTATGGAATAAATTGTGATTCTGTAGCTTCCAAGAGCTTCTTGGATTTAATTTTTGGTTTTAAAGGTAGGGAAATCAGCACAAGAGGTTTAATGATCTAAGGTTTCTTCTCAGCAAGAAAGAGTTAAAGGGACTCAAGGTTTAGATGAGTGCAGATCATCATGGTCCAGTCCATTATCTTCTAAAATATCTCTAGAAAATTCAAAGGTCCCTTATACATTCTAGAACAAAACTATCCTCAGCCACTTCATGTTTCCATCACCTTCCAAAACATGAAGTCAGTCCTGAGCTATCATTACAATCTCTGCTCATGGTGTTAGAAGCCTAGTTTTTTTTTTTTATCAGGTCCAACTTAGTCCTTCTATGCTCTGTCCGAGACAGATCAAGCAGCTTCATTGATACATAATTAGGATTAAACTTGATTAGGTTTTGGTGGTGGGTGTGGGTGACTTAGGGTCCTCACCTATAAAGCCCAATCTGGCTCAGGGCTTGGATATCTACAAGATGAGCTATCTCAGGTGGGTTCTATCTACCATGACTGGATAACCCAAGTGCCTCTTGAAGGTTATTACCTACTGAGAAAGGTGGTTGGAGAAGGTGGTGAGAGAAGAAACATCTTGTGGAGATGTTTCTTTAGAGGTGAGGGTGTTTCCCACTCTTGAGCTTGTATAAACTTGGCTTTCAGGATGATTCATAATCTACACAATGCTTGGATGTTATTGTTCCTATTGTTCGCCTTAGCGTCGTTTGCTGCTATTCTTTCTAATGTCCTCTAAAGGTGGAAGCAATCAAGAATTCCAACATCAAGAAATACACCCTACTGTGCATATCCCAAACTCTGAACACAGAGTAAATTATAACTTAATTATACATATTTGGAATGTACTGCATGCATCTTAAAAGATCTGAGTCTCACTGGGCATTATACGTGAGGGTGTCACTCTTTGTTCGCAGATCCGTCGCTGAACTCCAACATGTCTGCTGGCTCCAACATGTCGGACCACTGTACCTTCTCCTGTCCTCCTTCGGTGGTGACAATCCAGCCACCTCCTTTCATCCTCACCCTCCCAGGTCCTTCCATCTGTTGCCCTGACCAGCCTCTGTGCATCGAGCAACAAAATCCATGTGCCATCATCAAACAGCACAGTCCACTGCAAACAATTCGGGCTTCCAGCTTCTACTCCCGAGAGCTGCCAAGCACTCCCTACAGCCCTAGCATTTACCGGTTCTAGACCCAAGGAAGAACTGTGATGATCTTGGTCTGTTTCACGATCTTTCAGGAAGCTGAAGACCTACTGTATCCTGATCTGATTTTGTTTATTGGAAGCTTTTCTCGCAATAAGATGCTCACTTCATGTTTATCCCCTGCTTTGGGGGCCTTTCTTGTTTCTTGGAACTGCTAAAAATAAATGAGGGTGATTGAACAGAGATGTTCTTATTGTGTAAACTCTGAGTAACCTTGTGTAAGATCCAACATCTTGCCATCTAGCTTCTTCTTTTCAGTCACTTAAATACTTGAGGTTGTAACATCAATGCTCCCTCATTCCCAAGGCACTTTAACTGCCAATGCAAATGAGTATGTAAATTGCGTAATACCAGTAAGCATACACACTTGACTAGGCAAATCTGACTTGTACAACAAATCTTTTTCAGCTAATGTGGTGGTAGAATTCCACCACCCAATCTTCTCACATGGAATATCCCAGTGAGGCATGTTGTTTATGCACAAGAAGTCTGGGATATTAGGGCCCTAATTTTCTACAATCTGGGTTTGAGGTTGAGCTGACATCCTATTAACCTGGTTCATCAAGCCAAAAAGTAACTTGGTTTACACTTAGCTATGCCTTCAGAGATTTCTGGAAAGTATTGTGTTTTGTAGATCTTAAGCCTGGCTGGACCCTCATGGAGAAATCCGAGGAAGTTTTTTACCTGTGCTAGCTTAAATCATAGTTCCACACCTACATGAAAAATGTGATCCACCCACTGCACAAAACCATAGTTCATTTTTAAACGTAGTTTATGGCATAGACCGTAATGTTATCGAATGTCAAATTACAAAGATGGGTTTATGATGACTTGCTAAACTGATGCCAAACCATCCAATGGTCGATTCGAGAATGAAACGAGCAAACACACTATTCTGAATTCACTTCGGATGATCCTAAATGGATCAATCACAATCACTTCGGATGATCCTAAATGGATTTATCAGGGGAACATCTGCCAGCATTTAACCCCACTTTATAAAATATAGTTCTTTTTTTAAACAAAACATGGTTGAAGTCCCTTATTTGATACAGCTTGTCAGGACATATTCCCACATCCTAGGCAAACACGGATAGAAATTTTGGAAAACACTGATCATTTCAAGAAAAGGCAGCGGAGAAAATACTCTGCTACACACCTTTTCTGCTTAAATATTGAGTTTCAATATCAGTAGCTGGTGAGGAATTCTGGAAGTTGAAGTCCACACACCTTAAAGTTGAGCAACATTGCTGTAAACAGCTATGGGCCCAGTAGATTATTTTAAAGTTCCTCTCCAAAACTGTTTACTAATTAATTTCATTCCGGAGAATGGAAGAGAAGAATAAAATGTGGTTTGGCTCATGTTTAGTTTTTATCTAAATAACTTGTTTAATTGATTGCTTCCCTCCTACGTTACATCAGTGCTTTAACACTGTTCTCAATGCCTAAATATGGGGCCACGATTTTAAATAAACAAATAGCACGTATCTCGCATCATTGTGGTAGACCACACAACCCTGGAAGGCACATCAAATGTATTTAAAACAGGGAGGGCAAGATGTATTTTTCTCCTGTCCAAAAGGCAGGGTGGTTTAGTGGTTAGAGTATTGTGCAACCAAAGATAAGGGAAACAAAAACATGTTGGCGTTTTTCCTAAAAAATTCTCCTTTTTTATATCTCGTCTTCAAATCAACCTCTCCAAAATGTGCTCATCCCAACAAGTTGCGATAAGAGTTGCGGTTTGTAAAACTGGTGCCCAATTTGTTTCTTCTTCTTCTTTTTCCATTACCAGTTTTTCCCTCCCCGGTCGTGCCTCTGAAATTATAAACTTGGAAAGTGGGACTACTTTTGCCCATAAACTGAATTTGCGCCAATTCCGTGGAGAATTTTTTATCATTAGCAGACCCTTCCTCTCGCATGTCTTTAAAAGGCAAATTTTGACAGCTGAGAAAGACACCTGGATTACAATTATCCAAGAAGGAAATTGAAAATTTAGCTAAAGAAATCAAATGCATCTTCCTGGATCTTAGTTCCAGCATAGATTCTCCGGCTGCAAATTTCTATGCAACCTGGTACATTTGTGAGAGTGCACCCTCATGTGGTGGCAGCTGCTATTTGCAAAATTGAGACAATCTGGACTGGTGGAACGTATAAAGACATTCATATCAAGAGTTCAGCTCTTCTCAACCTGCAACTACAGATCCAGAGTTTTCTTTCCAGCAAGATCTAATATTTCCTCCCCATGAATTCCTTTTAGCCAATGTCTTGAGTTTGATTTCTTCATTTAGAAGTAAGAGATCCAGCTTTGAATTCCTTTGTAGAGCTTCTACATCTGGGCTGGAAAATTCCACACAATGACCACTAGAGGGAAGCAAAACATTTTTCCATCTCTCTTTTTATGGCCCTCTAGTGGTCAACTGGAGCTTTGCAGTCCAGATTGGTTTGGAAACTACTTGATGTGGTTCTCGTTTGTGGTTGTCTGAGTTTTCTCACACACACACACACACATCTCACACACCCAATTCTGAACGACTTCATGATTTATAACAGTTTGGGGGCCTTGGTAGAGCATAGGAGGAAAACAATGAGGAGAACATCATGATGCAAAAGGAAATTTAATCAGAAGAACAAAAGAAATAATGAAGTATTGGTTCAATTTTAGCTGCAGATTAGGTTCAAGGTAGCTAAGAAGAAACATGAATCTTCATTTGCTGTAGCAAATATCTGTTGTTTATAAATATGCTTTTGAGTGTTTATGGATTCTATTCAAACACAGTTTTGGAGTCTGTAGGGGTGATATGTCTCCATTTCCCCAGCAGGCTAGGTTCATGATCTCTATCACTTCCTCCAGTCCAGAAAGTACCAGCAGAACTCAGAAAGGAAATTATTTCTTTTTAGGGGATGCCATCAGAGGAGAGTAAAGGAAGACAGAAGAGTCAGCTGAAACCTAGTCTAAGATTTCAGACCTGAGTTTATGTTCTTAGAAGACAATGGTTATATCTTAAGTCCATCACTGTAAATGTAGCATTCAGTTTCATGTTTTACTTCTCCAGTTGTTTGGGGACTTCTGAGTTATTTCTTCCATGTTCAGTAACAGGACTAGAAGTCTGAAGCGCCTGGCATCACAGCCAGGGTCCCTCCATAGGATCCTCCGTAAGATCTGCTGCTGAAGCCACCACTTCTGTATCCATCCCCTCCACCAACAGAGTACCCGATCCGTCTGTATCCACCAGAACCATGTCCTGTGTGGCCATAACCACCTCCATATCCACCAGAACCATGTCCTGTATGGCCATAACCACCTTCATATCCACCAGAACCATGTCCTGTGTGGCCATAACCACCTCCATATCCACCAGAACCATGTCCTGTGTGGCCATAACTGCCTCCATATCCACCAGAACCATGTCCTGTGTGGCCATAACCACCTCCATATCCACCAGAACCATATCCACCACTGCTGTAACCACCACCATATCCACCACCGCCATACCTAATGCTACTGCCATATCGGTGGCTTCCACTCATTCGTCGGCCACTAGTCCAACCACCTACTGTACTGCCCCTTGTTCCACTAAGGCCATAATTCCCACCAGTGACACTCACTGTTCCGACACTGCCTCTGCGACCACTCATGCTGCTCCCTACTCCACCACCTATAGTGCCTCCAGTTCCAATGCTACCTCTCCGTCCCCCCACACTAACCCCTGTTCTGCTACCTCCACCCAAACCTCCTGTGGTGATCCTTGTTCCACCAGAGCTCAAACCACCATGTATGGTGCCCTCAACACCACCAGTGCCTAAATCACCCTCAGTGATGCTGCCTGTCCCAACACTGCCTCTCCGAACACCCATAGTGTCTCCTACTCCACTCCAACCAACTGTAGAGCCCCCAGCTCCAATACTGCCTCTCCGACCACTCATAACTCCACCTTCACCACTGCCCAAATCGCCACCAGTCATGCTGCCCATCCCAACACGGCCTCTCCGACCACCAACAGTGCCCCCTAATCTGCTACCTCCACTCCAACCTGCTGTGGTACCCCTTGGTCCACCAAGGCCCAGACTACCTCTGGGTCCAACAACTCCTCCAATGCCCAGACTACCACTTCTGGGCCCACCAAGCCCTCCAATGCCCAGACCACCACTTCTGGGCCCACCAAGCCCTCCAATGCCCAGACCTGTGGGTCCTCCAGTGCCCAAACCACCACCTCCTAAACCACCCACACCTCCGACTCCACCAACACCCAAACCACCACCCATCCTACTCCCTATTCCACTTCCACCGCTCCAGCTACCACCCCAACCTCCTCTTCCAGGGCCCAAAGCACCCATACTCCCTCCAACAGTACCCTCAATGCCAATGCTGCCGCCATCTCTCGCCCCCATGCCACCAAAGCCTGCACATGGATTGTGTTGTTCAATGCCAAAGGCTTGGTCAGGGCAGAACAATGCTGGTCCTGGGATATTCAGGACAAAAGGAGGCGGCTGAATTGTGACGGTTGAGGCAGGACAGCTGGCGTAGCACTCGGACATCATTGTGGAAGGGCTATTGCTCTGAAAGAGAAGAGCGAGAGGCACGGGCTTAATTCAGCAGACATTTCTCTCAGAAGAAGACCAATGGAGAAGAGTTTCCATGCTGATGCAGTTGGTAGAAAGAATGCTAATGAAATTAGCATTAGTCAGAAGTACTATAGAATACACTTTACACAATTTCAGAATTAATTCATGTGCAATTCAGGAACAGAAACAATACAGGACATAGTGTCTTTAAAGGAAGAGGAGAATCATCATCCTTTTTTGACCCACCATCTGGTCCACAGATTGGAGGGCATCGCCCCTGAGTTTGGCCAGGGGTGAAGAGAGTTCCTTCCAACAAGATCTAGAGAATCACAGTTGGGCCAATACTTCAGGTTCTTTAAAAGCCCTACCGTGTTTATTGTGATGGTGAATGGTCCAGCTTGGGCATCTATCTTACCTTGGTTCTTCAGGGTCTTAAAACTCTAGAAACGTGAAGAAAGGACAGGACTTCTTTTGCTGCTGCAGTGAAAAGAGAGAGATGCAAACTAAAGCATCCATCCAATTGTTTCAACGAAGTGGTTAAATCTCCTTCTAAACATTTCCTAACTGGGAACATTGCCAGTTCCTCAAAACCCAAAGACACAAAGAAAGTGCAAGAGAAGTGAAGTGATGGGAATCCATCTCAAAGACATCCCCTGCTCTTCATTCAGACCACCCTCGATCTTAGGGTAGAAGACACCGGCTCTGACTTACCTTGTTCTTCTTGGTGGAAGGATCCAAAGAGTAGCGAGAGGTGCTGATGCCTCTTGGTCCACCACCAGCTTCTTATACCTCTTGATACACCACCAGCTGAGCATGATTCACCACTGGGCTCCATGCCAGCCATTGACAACTGAAAAGAAATTAGGGTGAAGAAATCACCTGCGGTGGACTCCCCCAAACATTGATTATCAATGCAACAGCAGCAAACAACTTCTGGGTTGTGTGTTTGCTCAACTTTCCTTCTCTTCCAGATTCAGGATAAGGTCTCCACCCAACAAGGTTGCCTAAGAAGATTAATGAATTTTTAGCCTTAATACTTTAAATGTTGGGGTATCTCACTTATGCACAGCTGCATAAGCACCTTGGGTACCATCCCAAATGTGTCACTGCCTACTCCAATTGTTCTTAATCATCAGATGCATCTGAATTCATGGGAGATCTCTTGGTTCTATTTCTTGAAGACGCCCAGCCATGTCTGCAAATTCAACAAAATTGAACAGCAGACAATTTGGGATCCCGAGTCAATATAAATCATAAGGATACAAGCGACAAAGTCACAGTCATACTGTCACAAGTGAGAGGGGATGGGCGATAAGGAGCGATGAGAAGATTAATAGTAATAGTAGTGCAGACTTTGTAAATAGGTGGACAGTGTTGAGGGAATTATTTGTTTAGCAGAGTGATGGCGTTCGGGGGAAAATTGTCCTTGCGTCTAGTTGTTCTGGTGTGCAGTGTTCTGTAGCGTAGTTTTGAGGGAAGGAGTTGAAACATCTTTACATGAAACATGTAAATAAATCATTATTAGTAAATAATTTACTAATGCACCACACAATTCTGGCCACTACTTTCAAAGCAGGGAGGCCTAACTTATGGAGAAGTTGTTTGTGGTTGAGCAATAACTAGAAATGCCCTTGAAGGACAAATATGTAAGATTCTGATACCATCTCTGTTCAGATAATACAAGTAGTCCTTGACTTGTGGTCCCAATTGGACCCAAAATTGTTGTTGCTAAGTGAAAAATGTGTTAAGTGACTGTTTTGCCCCATTTTATAAAACATAACTTCTTGCCATGTTTGTTAAGTGATTGTTAAATTAGTGACACCCTTGTTAAGCAAACCTGGCCTCCCCATTGACTTTGCTTGTCAGAAGGTAGCAAAAGGAAATCACTTGACCCCCGGGGCACTGCAACCATCATAAACATGAGTCAGTTGTCAAGCTTCAGAATGTAAATCACATGACCATGGGGATGCTGGTCATAACTCAGGTTTTTTCCACTTTGATCAGTCGCTTGGTGAACTATTATAAATGAAGGACTACCTGTATAATTTTAGACCTATACAGAATTGGTTACTTGGTCTGGTCTACCTTATAGAGTGGACAGGAAAGACTATTTATTTTATTTGATTTATTTGGTTTGTCCATCACTTGCAAGATGATAGGTACAAGTATAAACATGGGTAAAAATGCAGGAAATAGGTACAAACCAATGGGGACAATAGGACAGGGACAGTAGGCACAATGGTGCACTTATGCACGCCCCTTACAGACTCTTAGGAATGGGGTGAGGTCAATAGTGGATAGACTAGGTTAAAGGATGATTGAAGCAGAGAAGGGACAGTTAAGAAGACATTTCTTGGCATTATATCAGGTTAAAATTTATTCTTGCCATGCAAACGCCGTCCTATTTTCTTGAAGGCAACCATGATAGAAAGTAAGGTCAACCGTTGAACATGGGCCCCTACCTCGCAAACACAAAGTAAACTTTTCTCTGCAGAAACAACCTGCTCCGTGTGGCTTTATGCAACCACAATCTGTCCCAATTGGAGGGTGTTTTTTTTTTAAAAAAATATCTATTAAAGCTATCTTGAATTATCTCCCTCACCTGTCAGATACGAAGACTACCTCCACACCTTTGTCAGCTGGTGCCCCACTCTGAATGAATCAGACTCTGATTATATTTTGATTTGAACAAAGGGATTAAGGCAGGGGTAATGACCCAGTTGAATCCCAAATGAGCAATGCCTGGGATACACCCAACTTCGAGGAGTTCAGCAGATGTGTAAAATTGATACTTCCTATCAGCGAGAAGCTTAGGCCAAGTTGATCAGCCTGCCAGATTTCTGGATCACCCAGCTTAGATTTGATAGTTGGGTGGAATCATCACCTTATCTAAGAAAACAGCTGCACACTTTTTCCCTAGGTTCCACGTGTCCCTGTTATGCCAACTTCAGCCACCACCAAAGCCTCCTGCTTCAAAAGAAGACTCCACCTTTTCTCCCTCGCTGTCCTAACATGTGGGGGAGTCTGGTTATTTGTCTTGCATTTTGAAAGTCTACCTTCAGATCACTTGCACAAGATGGAGAACCAACACACTGTTCCCAAACCTGAGGAGAAAGTCCCTCTAAACTTTTAAAACTGGTGCTCTAACTGGTGGAGAACCTCTTGTAGATCTTACCACAAAAGGGCTGTCCCAGAGAGAGCTTCTCCATTCTCAAAACGGTGGTCTTGATTTCATGTCCATCCACCAGGGTCCATCTTATGAGGAGACAATCCTTGCCAGCTCCTTTCCTTAGAATCTAATTCTATCTCCCTCTCTTCTGACTTGGTGGAAGTGATGTCCAATATTTACAATGTTGAAGAATGTCTATATTCCTTTCTGTCTTAGTCTTGTGTGCCATTGTCTTCCAGAGCTACTTATTACTCTCCAATTTTTCTCTGTAGGAACAACCCTGTTGAGGTAGGTAGGCTCAAGAAACTGTGGCTGAACCAGAATCATCCAAGGAGCTTTCACTGTGACCCGAGTCTAATTCCTTCATCCCTTCCACTATGCCACACAGATTTTATCCTGTTTGATGTTCTCCAGATCAAAGAAGGCTGCCCTTTTGTATCTAATATTCAGGGCCACTGAATAATTTTGGTATATTCCCTTTCCTCTGAAATAGCATCCATCCTGAGATCTGCAGGACTCCAACTCTGGTGGGTTTTAAGAGGCCAAACTCAGAGAAATGAATGCCTTCCATTTCTGCTTAGGTATGTCAACAGTAGCTATTTTAAACCAGCTTCAATATTTCTCAATCAAGGATGGAAGGATGAGCTATGCCAATTTGTGGTTAGAGAATCTCCCAGGAGAAGATATCTAGAGGAGATACACAGGAAGCCCTCATTAAGATGTTTATTGTCCTTCAAGTATCATTTTATAAGTCTTAATCCCTTGCCCAAGGCATCTTACATCAAGCAGAGAATCTATGCCACTGTCGTCAAGGGGCATGTGCTAGGATGACTCCTTCTTCAATCTTCTGAGAAGGCAGTTGTCCATCCAAAGGGGGACAGCAGGAAGAAGGAGGAGGAGGAGGAGGAGGAGGAGGAGGAGGAGGAGGAGAAGGAGAAGGAGAAGGAGAAGGAGAAGGAGAAGGAGAAGATTGCCTCATTAAAGGAAAGACATTTCCCCTTCCTCCTCTCAATAACAGGACACTATTAAGATGCATCCCACCCAACATAACAAGATGACTTCTGAGAACACCTTTCCTCCCTTTTGAAAAGAATTATACAGAATCTCAATGCTCTTATCAACCATTGTGACAATGCCGCCTTCACAACCAGGGAAGCAAACAATTAAAAGTAATTTGGTGGAGCGCACAGCGAGGCGTCGACTCATTCTGTCATGTTTGGGAGGGGGAAAATATTCTCAATTCCTGCCCTCAAAGGGCTATAAAAATGCACCCGGCACACGATGCTGCTTGAAGCTTCTTCTTGAGATACCTCCTCGCCTAGACAACCAGGTAAGGTTCAAAAGAGAGCTTCTAAAAGTGCAATGTGGGGCTGAATTTATTTCCTGGGAAGCAGGGAGCTGAAGTCAGAGCTGGAATTGCAACCAGCCCCCAAGGGTCGGGGGGTGGGGGGTCTGATGGATTCATAATTTGGGGTAACAGCAACATTTTACCAGCAAGATACCAACTGTGGATCAAGATCGCCTTCATTCTGAGCAACTGGTTCTACCAATTGGTGAAGTGAGAAAGGTGCTGGGAGCAAGTATCAAAATGATGTCAAATTATCTGCTTTCTTTTACGTAGTGAAAGATAAATGTTCCCATCATCACTTCACTGTTGAAGAAGTCAGCTGGCAGTTTTGTACACAGAAAGAGGGTGACTCTTGGTTTGTCCTTTGTATTTTATTTTTTAATTTGTAGATCCATTGAAAGATCCCTTTCTAAGTTATGTCTATCTCTTGACCCAGTCACCTTCTCTTCTGAAAGCATCTTCTCCTTCTACCTATCCTGTTCTGAAGAAAGGACACCTCCCTAGCTTCATCTCTGCTCTCCATACTGAAGGATCAGGAAGAACCCAAAATCCTGGGTTTAAAAGTCGTTACTTGTGCTATGTTCCCATAATGTGTAAATTACCATCATCACTTCTTCTCCACCATTCCTTCTCCTTCTTCTCTACCACTCCTCTTCCTTGTCCATTACTCTTTCTCCTTGTCCTTCTCTCCTCCTTCTCCATCTTTTCTCTTCCTTCTCTATCACTCCATCTCTATCACTCCATCTTCTCTATCACTCCATCTCTATCACTCCTCCTTCTCCAACACTCCTTTCTTTTCCTTCTCCATTACTCTTTATCTTTCTCCGTCACTTCTCACCCTTCACCATCACTTCACTTCCATCACTCCTCCTCCTTCATCTACTTCTTCTCTTCTCCATCACTCCTTCTCCATTACTTCTTCTCATTTTCCTTCTCCTCCTCCTGCTAATCTGGGCAAGCCTAGTTATGGATCCTAATATTACAATCTTGTATGGATGCCTGGATACCTCCCTCACCATCCGTCCCAAGAGAAAACAACCAAGTGATTTCGTACATATGATGAGGATGGATCTTATCTGATTTCAAGGAGCACAATAGAAGTGTAATAGTGCAGAGTGATTTGATTTGATCCATCTCACCTATGTTCTTGTAGGAGAATGTGGGTGATGGGTTGTTGTTGTTTTGTTTATTTCTTAAGAAGATAATATTAAGCTAATTTAATTCAGCGACCATTAAATTACAAAAGGAGTGGTGCTCTTAAAATTAGTACCATTCTTAATATGTATGAGTATCTTTCT